GAGTTACCTCATGTACATACATTAATTTATGTTCACAAAACCCTTGAGAGAGAAGTTGCATTATTTCTACTATGTATTTGGCTTACAAGAAACCACCAGTTTCTTTTAGATTATGCCAAAGGTGATTTAGCCAAGATCACAAAGAACAGCTACAGAAGAACCCATTTTACCTGAATTTTATCTGCTACATCAATTTCCCTTTTTCTGATGGTGAATGGCAGACACATGAAGAAATACTTTGTTTATTTAAAAAAAAAAAAAAGGCTTAAAATGGCACAAATGTGAACTGGAAAGAGAAATGGATTTTATCTACACCACAAGGGAGAGTGAAATTGGTCTGGAGATTCATTGCAGAGAAATGAGTGAGTTATTTTGCTGACTGTCAGTGGTAGGTAACAATGTAATTCAATAAGTGAAGGCCAGGTTTGAATAGATAGAAAATTAATCTTCAGCCACTGTCTCCTGTGGGATTTTCATGTGCCAGGATTGATTGAATTTCAGCTCCTGACTTGAGAAAGAAATTGGTTGGAGTTGGATTTTAATTATATTCACATGCTGGATTACTTTCCTTCAAAATACGTGTTTTGCTACGTTCCTGAAAACAAAGTTTAGCTGGGTATTAAAACTGTTCCAGTCAATGCCACAGTCTGTCAGGCTTTTGATAGAGATGCCAAACTAAAATACCTGATAACACTGAGGTTTTCCTTTTTAATCTTTCCTTATCTTTTGCTTCTAATTTAGATGTAGGATACTTGAAATTCATAAATTTGTAAAATGAAAACTAAATAGTTTTTACTTTATATAGAAGGATGTACTATAAACATTGGGTGTGTAGCACCTGGCACAGGATTAGTTTTGCTGATCAGGAGGCAGTGGCCCGAGTGCAACATTAATTTGCCTGTAATGCCTCTGGTATGTGTTTGTTGTGTGCAGAACTAGTTCAGACACCTTTAGATTTAACAGAAAAAATAATCCTGTGTGAAGGAAACTACAGGACTTTTAAAGGATTTTGTCATTTGGTGTCTCTGGTTTTGGGGGGCAGATGGGTGTGTTGTTCCAACATCAGAGTTGTACGTCACAAAATACTCCCAGGAAAAGTCAACAACTGGGGTGCAAAAGCTTCCAGGTTATTTTATGTAGTTCTGAGAGATCCACTGCCCTCCATCAAGGCCACAAAGGTAGATATAAAATACAGTTCAGCTGGAGCAGGTGGATCAATTAAATTGAGAAAAGCATAGCTCAAGAGGTTTTGGATTCAATTTTTGGTTTTGATATCATGGAATATTGGTAGGAAGAATAACAGATCCATTCTTTATCATAGTTTGGGGAGGGGGTGGTGCTGGGGGTGTGTGCACTGTTAGAGACTTTGTATCTGAAACTTCAAGGCATTCAGGTAGATTATTAAAACTCTTTCAATAAAGTTTAATCAAATTTTGGGAGTAGATGTGAAGCTTCTTCTGTAGCGCATGAGTGATGGGAGAGGCTGTAAGATAGTATCTATCACTTGGGATGAAATTGAAATACCAAGCAAAAGAAACATAATTTTATGTTCAGATGCTTCAGAAATTTCAACCAAAATCAAAATATTCTGTACTATGAAAACTTCTGTGCTAGACCTGCTAGGGTGGACCTTATGATTTACCCTCTTTCTCTTTTACCATCCCCTCTCCTTCACAAGTATTTCTTGTGGAAAATTAGTTGGAAGAAATATTTTTGACACCTGCTCATTCTGGTGTTTTATTGTAATAATGTGGCTTGATGATTTCAGGTTCTTTTCTGAAGTGTTCTGTGAAAGCATCGAGATTTTGTAGTCATTGGTACTAACTTCAGAAATAACAGTGCTAGGGGTTTTACAAATCAAATGGCTTTCGGGAAGGAGAGAAATTTTCTGACATGAACAATTGATTATTGAGATTGCATTTGCAGAATTAGAGAGACTCGTTACTTTGAGCAACATGAAGCCAAAAGATTACTTGTGAAAAGAACTCCAAAATTTGCTTAATGTATAGTATTCCAGTTCTGGGGAGGGGGGAAAAATCCTGTGTGGTAATGCAGAAGGAAAAAAACCCCACCATAAACCTATGTAAAAATTGAGCCAAATTACATTGTCTGAAACTATCATAATGCTGTGTCATATCAAATCATAGAACATATAAACTGTTACTGATCCTGGCTCCAGTTTCCACACTTCAAAGTCAGTTTTGATGGTTTGTTGTGGGTTGACTTTGGCTGGCTGCCAGGTGCCCACCAAGCCGCTCTGTCACTCCCTCCTCTATCACCCCCCTTCCCCAGCAGGACTGGATGAGGGGGAAAAAAATCACAAAAAAACAGTGTATTGAGATAAAGGCAGTTTAATAAAGAAAAGCAAAGACCATGTGCAGAAGCGTAGGAGAACAAAAAGATTTGGTCTCTACTTCCCATCAGCAGGTGATGTCCAGCCACTTCCTGGGAAGCAGGGCCTCAGTACGCATAGGGGTTGCTCCAGAAGAATTAATAATGAATAATGAATGTGTCTCTCCCCTTCTCCTTCCTCTTAGCTTATATTGCTGAGCATGACAACATATGATATGGGATATCAGTTTGTTCAGCTTGGGTCAGCTGTCCCGGCTATGTCCCCTCCCAATCTCTTGCCCATCACCAGCCCACTGGCCTTTGGAGGAGCGGTTTGGAGAGACAGCCTTGATGTTGTGTGAGCACTGCTCAGCAGCAGCCAGAACACTGGTGTGTTAGCAACACCTTTCTAGTTACAAAAATGAAGCAGAAATACAAAGCACAGCATTAGGAGAGAATGCTATGGGGAAAGTTAACTCATCCCAGACAGAGCCAATACATGGTTTTACTTTCAGGTAGATTTACGAGAGTGATGTAGTGGATAAAAACATTTCAGGATGCATTGTACAAGTATTTCCTGCTTTTCTAATCCACATTCCAAAACTAAAACATTACTGTCTTAGAAGCATCTAACTGCGGAACTGTGATATTCAGAAGTCCTCTGGCAACCTCCAGAACAGAGGTCGTTGCGTCCACTAGAACTTTTAATTAAAATAACACCACACACATGGAAGTATAAGGCAACATGTGGTCTTAGGTGTTTCAAGGAGAATGTTTTTAGATTATTTCCACATTTTATAAAATTAGATTATTTAATGCCATGATATATCTGGACTTCACCTAGTAACAGACTTGCTTAGAGAAAAAAGGTCATCTCTTACTTTGAGTTATGTTTTCCTTTCTGTCTCATCCACCTGAGTGTGGTTAAGTAATAAGTTTAACTTCTTATCATAAGATATAGTAGCTACGTTGCATAAAAGTAGTCAAAATTAGTACTCACCTTCTTTTCTTCCAGAAATTTAGTAGACTTGTATTGTGAGATTTGTCTCACCTAATTCTACACAACTGCGTTGCAGACTTCTACATTGAGGCAAATTGTCCTAGGGCTACCTTTATAGTCAGTGAAAAGTAGGAGCCACTTCTAAGGCCCGATTCGTGTCATGGGAAAATAGGCGTCTAATTAAGATGAGGTGAATTGCACTCTAAAAATGCCTGTTTCTCTTCGTTGACTATGAAGGCAGCCTGGGATGATGAGCTCAACACTGCTAGGTTGTTGAGATCAGTAGATGTCAGTGGTTAGACGAGTTCTGCCCTTTGTATTTCCAAAGGAAACCACCTCCTTGAAACCTGTCTGAGACTGCTGCTTACTTCAGGCAACATTTGAACCTATACTTAGTATAACATTTGTCCATAACCCTATGATGAAGCAGATGAGGAAACATATGCAGTTTAATTAGATTACTTTGTAAGTTAAAATTTAGCTGTCTGTACTTTGATAGGGGACAATAGACATGGTGATGGTGTGTAAAGAATAGGTTCAGCACAGACATGCATGACTGACCAGATGGGTGCTTCTCTGTCAGCGCTCTTTTTCAAGTGTAACAGATTTTCAAAAACTGATGACTATGACTCTGTAGTATTAAAAATATCCTTATAATTGCCTGCAATTGCTGGTCTGAGTAATCGTTTGGTATCATAATTGATTCATTATGGATTTAAGTGGCAGTCCTCTCATGCCATGAGGCCCCCTCCTCCAGGACATTGCCACCTTGCCTTTGGTCCTCACTACTGCTTTGGTTTCCACACTTCATGCAGCTTTTGTAGCTGAGTTAGAAAAAGCCCCTGCTTCTCAAATTTATTTTTTTTTTTAAACCAGTCCAAATGACTGAGTGAATTGGAAGGAATCAAGAAGCTAGGATGTAGTAAGGTGAGAAGCGATGGGAACCCAAGGCAGGCAGATGGTGGGGAGCACCTGAGTGTTGGGGAACCTTTCCACTCAGGCAGCTGTAGCCAGGGCAGTACGTGAGATTTCATCGAGACTTACTATTAAAATAAGTTGGACTTGATGATCGTCGGTTGGACTTGATGATCCTTGAGGTCTTTTCCAACATTAATGATTCTATAATTCTATAAACCAATGAACAAAACCTATTTCAATCACGTGTTCTAAGAAGGCTTCATTTATTTTCTTTGTCTGGATGTGCACTACTTTTTCTCAAAAATGTATTTATGAAATGTATATTAGTGGTATAATTTTAAGATTTGTGATTTACTATGTAATCTACAGAAGGTAAAAATGAGATATACAGTATTTGTATTTAAGACTTGGTACAAATTCTTACATGTAATAAAAGGTAATGTATTTGCCTTGCATTATGGGTGTAAAAATTCTATGTACTTTTGAAATTTAGGTGTGCAAGGTGTTAGGCTGTTACTTTTCTTTTGTAGCTCTTCATTTCACTGAGTTGCTTTGGGTAACTCTTAATTTAAAATAAAGTATACATAAATATTTCTGGACCTGGAGCAAGTAAGCATGTTTATACACAAATGAAAAAGTTAGCTATGAAAGAAGGCCATGAGTCTTTTATGTAAAAAGAGGCAGATGTGAATAGAATTGTTTTTAGCATACTTTGTAATATTTTGCCCTTTGCATGTCTTTCTTTAAAAAGCCTGAAAAGAATGACACTGAATCTGGAAGCCAGAGAATCAGACCAGTATTTGAAGAAGATCCTGTTTTCCGGCGGCAAACATCTTACCAACATGCAGCAGTCCACATACCAACAGATATTTATGAAGGCTGTAAGTAACATGTTTAAAAAGTGATTTTATTTCAATACTAAGCTTATTATTTGTGTCCCATTCTTAAAAACAAATAACCTCCAGACAAAATTTTCGTCTCCATTTTTAGTACAGGTTTGCTGTTATTGTCTTTTTTGATTCTTACAGTAGTACTTCAGAGATGTGCTCTACTAGGCATATGATTCATCATATGAATTAGTAGGAGCCATAGTTGAAGAGATCCATTTGGATTAGATCCGAGTTTCAGAAATGGAACTGGAGGTGAAACAAAACTCTTACATATTCTAATTTTTTAACCCATTCTTTCTCTGTGCTGTGTTCTTATTTAATAAAAACAGCTCTTGACAGCTCTTCTTTACATGGTTTTGGCCTCAGGCAGAGATGAGTACTGAAAACATTTTTGAGTATCCTAAAAGCATATATAGTTCAGGCAAATAGCATGCTGTGTGAGATAGTAGTACTTATATTGCATGCAGTGCATTTCCAGAATTGCAGTAACAGACTTTGGCAGATAATTTGAATAAATTCTTTCTAAACTATGTCAAAAATAATATATATATACACATATACTGCTGAGGATTCTTTAATTGTATTTCAAAACTAAGTATTTAAGTTATCTTTCAAGATGCAAATAAATTCCTTTTTCTGTGCTCATCATCAAGAAAAAATCATTATCCAAAACAAAGACATTTCAGCATTCAAAATGTCTGCATATTTTTTTTAAAAAGGTGAAGAAAAATTAAATAGAATGCGTATTTTTTCTTGTTTTGTGGTTTTTGGGGTTTTTTTATTTTTATTTTTTAATTTTTAATTTAGGGTCCTAATTTCAAGTATGCAGTCCTCCTCCTCTTTCAAAATCTCATCAAGAGGAAAGAGACCCTAGTGTGACCTGGGCTCTTTAAAATTCATGGCCATGGTTGTGTGCAGCTTATATAAATGACACAGGGATGAAAATGGAAATGTCAGTATGATGAGGGAAAGCATAGTGGTAGCTTGTATTCTTATAAGGTGTGCTTGACTGACAGACCTAGAGGATTATTCTGGAATTCTGGCTTTAATAAGTGGTATAGTGCACCTTAATTGCAGGATTACAGGGAAGAAAGGACATTTCCTTTGCTTCTGTTTGAAGAGAATTGATATTTCACTGTAAAAATGTTAGAAAAAGTTGCCAACAATTTTTAGGATATTTATATATGTTAGGATATAAACACCATGTGAACTTTGATAGAAGATTGTCATCATAAAAGTATGTACAATGTTCTGTTGCTGTGTTGAGTTTAACATTTTAGATGGTATTCCTAAGGACGCTTATGACCCTTGAAAATACATGCTAGGTAATGCTACTGTACAGCCTGTTAACCTGCAAATGAAGACAGGCTATGACTTCCATAGGAGAAGTACAACTTTAGTATTTATTAAAGTTATAATAGCAGACAGCAACATACATTTTTTTTTGTGAGAGGTACCTGCATGTGACGGCTTGTGAGACATTCATGATTCTTTGGGCCTGGCTATCATGCTAATTACCAGAGATGCAGCAGCCTAGAAGAGTACTGTGAAGACTGTAATTCTGTGTCAGAAAAATCCTCTTGAGGTAGCTGGGTGACTTTTGGTTATGGATTGTGTTTTCAGAGGTGACAGCTTGATAATACCTAAAAATCACAGATTCCATATCCGTAAATGTAAAATCATCAGTTTAATTTTACAGTAACAAAGTTCACATGTCATCTGAAGTGAGCAATTGGAACATAGTCATTCAACAACAGATTTCCAAAGCTAGAGTATAATTTTCTTTTCACAAGCAATATTATCTCCAAGCAATTTTTATAACTCAAGAAAGAGTGATAATGGATATTGAACACTGTTGTCGTTTTTCTTCCTGTTCAAATGAGCTAAACTACCATTTCTTGATAGAAGTTTCAGTGCCAACTGTCGTCAGGAACACTTGTGCACTTTGCAAATAGTTTACCATAAATCTGTAATTCCTTGTCTACGTCACAGTCTGCTAGCAAACATTTACAAAACAAATATTGTAACAAATCCTTGCAAGAAACAGTGGATGAAACACAGTTTACAACTTTTATTGCTTGGAAGTAGGTTTTTTTGGACTGAATTACACCTTGGAAAGCGGATTTCACTTTTTTCCTCTCTTACTGTATACGTTTTGTAGCGTGCCAAGAGAAACGAAGAATTGCTTTTTGGATCTCACAGAAGAGGTTTCAATGACTAGATATTTGACTGCCCTATTCTTCCTTCAGATGGGTTTTCACTTTTATTGCCTCTTAGAGTAGCAGGCTGTTGTCTCTAGGGGAGAGGGACAATTACAGTTAGAGCCTTGCGTGTTCCTAAATCTGAATTTTCACTTGGATGTGTTGATCACACTCTGTGACGGTAATGATTTTTTTTCTGTATAAAGCTGTGATTTTGAGAATCACTGGCTCTTGAGCAATATGTTATCCGTGGCAATCTTTCTTCCCTATTCAGGTTTCATTTTTATTGCAGTTATTAGTTATTGTTTTAAAAATATGAACCAAATATTGAAACTTCTATCATATAAAATTCTGAATGTGTGAATCCATCCTCCATTTATCCCTTTGGAACTGGGAAAGTGGTTTAACCAGTAACTCTTGATATGCCACCTATTTAATCCTGACAAAATAATACATGCTATAAAATATTCTTTGGCTTCCTATGTATATATGATTTGCTTATTTTGAAATACAGCGATTATTTCACCATAGAATTATGTGGCAAATCATTACAAAATATCCATTCACTACATCTGGATTATTCCTTGGTGGTTTATTTGATTGCAGAAAGAAATATTATAAAAGTTATTTTTGCTTTCTCTCCTCTGTGTCTGGTGCCAAAACCTTACTAGAGACAGGGAAAAGTCTAGGGAGTTAATTTATTTGCCTGTTTCTGAGAATTACAGTCCCACCACAGGAGAGGGCAATGCCAATAAATTAGACTCAAATCAGGCTTTTAATTCAGTATTTTTCAAGAGTTCCATTTAGGTTTTGAAATAAAATCAACCTGCTGCTGAAAACAGAAAGGACCCTCAGGTTCTCTTTCTACCACATGCAATTAGTCATGCATCTCCTATTAGTAACAACAGAAGTCCTCTTTCTAAATCCCTGTTAAAACTGTACCCTGCGTATCCCTGAGCAGAATACGGGAACCACAGGCCAGAAGTAAGAGTAAATCGTCTGCACAAGGCAAGTGAGGTTAATCTACCTGGTGGGTACCACCACACATTGCTCTCGTTGTCTGGGATGCATAAGGCACCATCTGCCGCGATGGTTGCTCTAGATGTAAGTCTGTACTTCTATTGCAGTTTTAGGAAAGGTGTGGGGCAAAGCAGACAAACAAGGACTGCTTTTGTGTGTGTGTGTGTGGTTACTCCTGCTTTACCTCCTCTAAGTCAGAAATTGAAATATTGCTTACACAGGTCATTACTTGATTAGCACTGAAGAGTTGATTAAAGTGTCAGATTGACAGTAATGTCTCTTGGACATGATGACATCATTTTGAATATGGTTGGACAGCTACCAGCAAGAAAAAAGACTTCCCCTGCTCAGAACCCATGAAACCAGACATAAAGAGAGTTATGATTACTTGGTGGTTTTTACAGCTTAATGGGCATAAAATATGCTTACTGTTTGTTCATACCCTCCTTTTATTGGGATGGCTGTCAAAATTTTGCTGCTCCTTAAAATCTTCTAAGATGTGTGTTATGTTTTGATAGCAAGTTCGATAGTGGACATCAATTTTACCTTTGTAGTGATGTATCATATTTGTAAATATTCAGCTATTGATAAAGTGTTTTGGTATAACAGCGCTTAGTAATGTTTACAATCAAAACAATTAGGAATAACTTGAATAATTCTGTTTTGATGCTATAGTGATATTTATCTTGACTAGTATTTTATCTTTTTGACTGGAATTTTTGTACAATGGAGCAATTTCTTCACTTTCTGAATTTCTGTAAATTCTGGATGTTATTTCTTCTTGGGTATCTCAGTCTGTGAGCTTGAAAGGAAGAAATATTCTTTGGGAAGAATCAGAGCAAGAAAATTCCCCCTCAAAAAAACACAAAACCAAACCAACCAAACAAAAAAAAACCCACAAAAGACTAAGAAGTGTATTGTCATTTATTCAGGCAAGGTCTTATATGTGGCTAACAAATAGGATTTACTCAGGAATCAAGATATTGATAAAGTGTTGTGTAAGATTTTGCTACATCAGTATTCCTTAGAAGACTAAAGAAGCTATAAAACTTTTTTTGTACTTTTTTGTATTTGGTTTACATAGCAATAACAGACAGGCAAGACAGTTTCATTAATTAAAATACTCAATTCAGAATATTTTAAGATTAATACTGTTGATATATTTTGATTATAACTGAGAAACTGAAGCTATTCAGAACTATTTTTCCCATGGTTTCTAAAGGATAAATAGCATTGTTTTACTATAGCTAGGGTAGAAAAATTATTGTTTTAGGTCTCTGTGTATGTATATGTTCACACCTTTAAATTTGGAAATAGGAGTTGAATTATTTCGTTATGTATGTGCAGATGGCATGGAAGACTGCTATTTGTTCTAACATATTTTTTATATATTTTCAATTATTTTAATTGGTGAGTTATTTGTGAAAACATGTCATGAGTGAAGTAGACCTTTAAATGAATTTTCAGTGTCACTCTGCTTTAAATACCAAACATTGTGGCTTAGGGTAAGTCTAAAGCAAATGTTAGCTGCAGCTAAGTCCCTAAGTACTGCCTGGTGGTTCAATATTAAACCTGGAAGGAAAATACTGATGCATAAGCTTAAGCAAAGAATTCTTGGGTCAGTATTGCTTTTTATGTTCTGTTAACTATAATATTTTTTTTTCTCCCCAAGTAGCTTACTAAAACTCCCCGAATTAAAATCTTTAAATAAGCAGCAAAAAGAAATAGCTTTTCTGACTTGAAGAAAAAGCTTATTTCAGTCAGAATTCA